TTTCCGTTTAAAGTAAAAGTTTTACATGACAAAGTATGTGAAGGAAAAAAAAAAAAAACGAATAAATAAAATTAAAAAGACAAATCAAAAAAAAAAAAAAAACTATATTAGAGAATAAGAAGACCTTGTAAAAAGAAGAATAATGTAAAAGTAAAAGGGAATCTACAACACTTGTGCAGTCGAAATAAATTAATTTTCCATTTGTATCAATTTGAGGATAAAACTTAAGTAATTTATTCGTTTCTTCTGAGAATCTTAAATCTTGCAAATCGATTACTTAATCTTTAAGCTTGAAGAATGTTAAGTTGTATTCGGAAGTTTATTACTATTGTTCTATTGTATTAGGTTAGATTACTTTAGTCCTCTTGTCTAATGTCCGACGATGTCATTTGCGACACTTGGTCTTTTATACTTTGCGACGCCGTCCTACATTGGTTACATCATTGTAAAATTTTATTGCCACTTAGTTTCTATTTGTTAATTTGAATTTCTATTTAATATGAAAGTGTAAGTAACGTATAGTAATCCTTTCAAAATTTGTGGAATTGTTATGGTAAACATTATTGCATTATCGCTCCATGTTCCCTGATGTCGTTCGACATTTTCAAAAATTTATAAACAGATCTGCGTAAACGTGATGATGGACAAGACAGAGTTATAGGAGCATCTTAAGGTGTATTTTGTACTGAAGTATCTAGGACTTAATCGTCGTGTTAAGCCTGGAAATTGATACTGATCAAGGATAGGCTTTCGTTACATGGTCTCTTAAGCTTGTTCCCTGGTGATGCAAACTTTTTAACAAAAACTAAGCCTCAGCGGTAGATATAAAATAACCTGTAGCCCTAATCAGTGCAGATGTTTTTATAATGTATTACGCCACGGTATGGCTCTCAATTACTTACGAAAATCATGGCAATAATTAAAATATTGTTGTTTTTGTTTATAGTATAGGATTACTATTAGCACAGCTTCGTTCGACTAATTAAATTTTTTAGTTTTATTCAATTTATTACATTCTACCGCACTTGTGGTATATTAACTTTGTGCGGATGTATGTTACAATCAGAAGGGCAGGAGTTAAGATACAACCATCTTCTACTACATAGATCGATCCAAAAAGCGATTCAAACTGAGTGTGTCTGTCCGTCTGTCCGTCTTGTTTTCTTTTTTTCAATCTATGTAAGTTTTGCGACATTTTGATACACTAAAGTGCTTTGGCCCAAGGATATTTTTTCTCGAACATTGTTCACATTGGATCAATTTTTCAACTATTTCTCATGTAACACTTTATTTTGAAAGGTCGTCTCTATGAATAACTCTAAGGTGCAGAGTACTTTATGGTTTTCTGTGCCTCGTTATAATCTTTTTATTTATTTTTTTTTTTGTTGAAAATCAGTTTTTAAATTAACTGGATTACAAAATTAATTTAAAAAGGAAAATTTATTAAAATATTTTAAGCTAACGAATCGAGGAAATAATTATAAAATTATATTGCTATATGGCACAATCCAGAAATGCCCTACCATTCGTATCGAATAATCTTTAACGCTATGCTTTATTGTTTGACATCTGTAGGCGGAAGAAAGCGTCATAAAAGTCACAAAAGTCTTAAAAAAACGATGCGATGAAAGCGAATTTACGCTGCAATCGGAAGTGGGCAATGAAAATTTGAAATATGAAACGAAGCATTTTAGGAAAGCGATAATTTTGCAAGGAATCGATTGCTGAAGAAAAATTGATATATTGCTTTGCAGAACCGATTCTTGTACGAATCAGTCTTATACATATTCTTGAAAGATTTTTCTGATCTTATCAGATTTGGATCTGTTGGCATCTGCGTGAAATGAAGATATGCGTCATTATTTAAAGTGATTTCCCTTATACTGAGTATTGCGCGAAAAGCGTAAAACAAAACCGACATCGAGTTTTACTTTCAAATTCTGTAGCAATTATTCACTAATTATTGTTAATTAATTTTTAAATGCATTTTAAACGATTAATATGAATTTCTCATTAAAAGCATTAAAATTTCATTTAATTATTGTAATAAAAGAAATTATTTATGATTTTTGTAAATACATATACACACATATATTTATTGCCTGTCATTCACATATACATCGGTAATAATTTAATCGCATTTGTTCGACCACCTTAACGATTTAATTAAATATTTTAAAAACTATATTCCTACATGAAAACACACGCACACAATTAACTACATATTATGTGCAATTATTAATATATATGAAACGATTTGAAATAAATCAAAATATAACTAAATTGCTTTGAAAAAGCATAAAAGAAATTCATTTCCTTTAAAATATCAACATTTTCTATTAGATGGACGAGGCGTATGAGTAATGCTTTTAAATCTTCTTAAATATATATAAATAACTTTCTATCTTTTAATATACGTATTTAGATGTGCATATGTGTTTATATATATGTAAATATGTATATCTAGATTTATATGTGTCTACATATATTTATATATATATTTATATATTTATGTACATATACATATATGTATTCATATTCTTTTGGCAATAATATGCATTAATAAGTATTTAATTTACGTTTCTTTTCCTTTTTTTCGTGTTAGCCTTCACCTTAATTTTAAATTGCAAGCGAGAAATAAATGAAAAATATATTATAAAAGTGGAAATGCAAGAAAAAAAGAAAGGAAAAAGAAGAAGTAAGAAAATTTTATTCTATCATTACCGAATCTTGTGCGCCCATCATCAAAAAAGACAAAACAAATAAAGAAAATAAATTTGCCTACTTTATAGTATGGAGGAGGCATGGCTTATTTTTTCTCTTTACGTCGTGTGTGGGCGTCAAATTCGTTTGGTGACATCTTCATTTCCACTAAAGGGAGAATGATGCGCAGGCGGACAGATAGACGAACAAATTTGAAATTGGCCAACAATTTGTATACTTTATGGGGTTTTATGGCGGGAAGCTTTTTTCTGGGCCAAGCAAAGGTATTGAAAAAAATATTAAATTTTCATATACCATAATATTGGGTAGGCATGGTCAATTTTTTCGTTTGTTATACAAGTGCGACAACATCGGCCATAAAATACGCGTTAAAATTTTTGCAAAATTTATCTGCAATAATTTTTAAGTAATGACCAAAAAACTGATTTTTTATTCTTTTTAAAAAGCAGAGGTGTTTTCAGTTTACGTTGTGCTATGGGAGTGCCCTTCGATCAATCTTTTATACCCATCGCTATTAATCTTAACAAGGTTAGATAAAAAGGAAATAATTAAATTTTGTGACTTTACACGTTTGCATGGGTGTGGCTCATTTTTTCAATGTTTATAGGATAAAAGTGGAAATTTATATCGGGTATCTGTTCCAGCTTGTGAGCAACGAGCAAAAGGCACGGAAGGCAGAGAAGTCGTAAGTTTTGCTTGTATAGACTTGAAGGCGTAGGCGTGTTCTTTGACCTACTTGGGCCATCTTGAATCTCTTTTTGCAAATTGGTAGGCGATATCTCTTTGTTTGCGGACCAACATCAAGACAGACTTTTGTAGAATGAAAATGGAAATTTATATCCTATGACTGAAATAGTTTACGGTTAAACAAGCACCCTTGATCTATATCTACATTTCCTATTCATGGCGACGTATCAGGTTGTAAAGAAAAAGTTAATCCACCAGGCGGGAACGGGCACTATAAGTAATTTAAAATTAACACATATATCTTTTCTCCTTTTTTTTTCCATATGATCAATCACTCAGCGGAAGTCCATTATTCGCGTATCGCGAGGATGGTCAAAAAGAAGTGAGGAGAGAATAAAGAAAAAAAAGAATAGGGAGGAACCGGCTGCAACTTAGTGTATATTTATCGAGTGAGCGCTCATTACATTTACGACCACAGTAAAGTCTACCGAACTGAGATTTGAACCAACGCACACTGACTTCGCGATCGCGATTCTTACTTACACGCCTACTCGTATGGTAAATGTCGCATTTCATTGCCCAAGACCCTTTATTCGATACTGCTAAGAAAAAAGTAATTGTCTCACATGAGGATTGTGCAGAGTAATTTTCAACATTCTATTGTGTTTAGCTTATGAGTTATAAGCAGAAAACGTCAAAAGAGTGAAAAACCTAGATATTTAATCACTTATAACTTTATGTGGGCCTGGTCGATTTCATTCGTTTTTCTATATGAACAGTAGAGTCCTTCATAAAGTAAATATAGAAAATTTCAATTTCAATCATCTTTGATAATTTACAAGTAATGAATAAAAGATCATAAATTTTTGCTTAGGAAAACGTAGTTGTGTTCAGTTAAGGCTTTGCCGTGGGAGTGTGCTTTGGCCAATTTACACCATTTTCAATACCAGCTTGTGCGTAAGGCATTCAATGTTTCTGCCAAATTTGAAGACGTCAGCTCTATTTTTGCCGCTAGGGTAGCGTTTTCAACAGACGGACAGATGGATATGCTTAAGTCTGTGTAGTATTTGATGTTAAAATATATATATATATATATATATATAAAATAAGAGGTTTGCTCGGAATCAAACGTTTTGATAAAATGAATTTACTCCTTATCCTTTGGCGATGGATATGAAAATAAAAACAAAATTTATATACGAAAAATATTAGACACTTTATATTAAGATAAAATTTTCTGTGTAATTTTCTGCCAAACACAGTGTATGCATTATTAAGTATCTGTAATTTTTGAGATTTCCTTCTCGCATAAAAATGTATGCACTATTTAACAGAATAAATGTGTTCAGCAAATTAAAAAAAAAAAAAAAAGAAAAAAAAAACACACGAAAAAGATTTTTCTGGCTGCTTTTTTTAAATTCTCTAATGCTTGTTCTCTTTTGCATTCAATTAAGAACATTAAGGCTTTTTGATCTTTGATCGTAACCTATGGATAAAATACACATCTAAGTATTCTGGCATTCATTGATAATTTTACATAAGTAAGAAAAGGATAGCATATAATATAATAACAAAAAGAGATTACTTACCCTCTTTTTTCGTGGTACATCTTCTTTAAAATCAACGACGATGCCTTCATCAGATGTAGATACTGAGGTGGTGCGTATACGAGCACTGGCAGAAGCATCATTTATCATATGTGCACTTATGTTATGACCATCATCGCTTAGCGGTGGCGATGAAGAACCCGAACTCCATGATGCTGAAGAACTACCAGGACTTGAACCAAGCCATTTATCTAAATGAAGGAAATGAGAAAAGCAAAATATATGATAAAAAAAAAAAAAATCATATCATTAAAGAAACTATTAAAAGATAGAAGAAACTATAAAGAAGGGAGCGAGAGAGAAGGATAAATTTTAATTTGACGTCAGCCATTGCCAGTTATCAACAACGAACGATGATCTTTGTAAATCGGAGAGAGCTCATTAGGCAAAAACTTTCCTACTAAGCACTAACTGGTTATTCCAAACCCAAATGGGATTAGCGTACTTTGTCGAAAGTCATAAAAGCATCAGCATAAAATATTACCGGCTGGATGGCCAACAACAAAAACCGGGCTGTCCTTTCTGTTGACTTGAGAAACATTATACTAATCTGATAAGTAAAGGGCAAGTTGCTATCAGTGCAGTAAGCCCGCAGATGTGACTGAGTGCAAGACTAACATAGAGCCCTGGCATTAATTGTTCTCCGCAAAAATTTACAGACGCAACGGACCGGAAGAATAAGATTAATAAAAGAAGAAGCAAGCGGAGTGTACCCCAAATTGTGAACAGAAAACCAAATGGATTATTAATAAACTGATAAACATAAAACGTCCTGCGAAAGGTGAAGAACAAACGGACAACTAAACTAACGTTAACTCCAAAGCAAGCATATGACAGAGAATAAGAACAATTACAGTCCAGCTAGGAGCTTTTAAGCAAAAAGAATACTGAACGCATGGTATACTATTGTGCTGTATTATGGCAACCCTGTTATCGCTTACATGAGCGAATAGCCTATATTTCTTGCCTTCTTATCCGCAATTCTCGTAAAGAGCAAATGATGAGTGCATCATGGAAATATAGCAAAAGTTTTAAGTTTTTCTAATCTTTGCTAGGAAATGGATGAGATAGCACAGACCACGTAATCAACCCTTTTTCTATATTTATTTATCTAGATCACAATAAGAAAACGTGTTCATAGCTCAAATGGAAAAATCAGAAGAGAAGATAACTAAAATTATGAACTCTTCGTTTCCAAGAGTGTTAGCACAGTTTTTTGTGACCGGTCACTCGTAGACAAGCCAGTGATCAAGCGTAGTACGTTTCTCCGTGAGATTCTATAAATACTTTTGCTTGCCATTATCCTCGGCTATCAAGTCAATAGCTAGCTGTGGCCTTGGAACTACAAAGAGAAGTTTTGGATATGTTATCGGACTCTTCTGATTGCCGAACATTTAAACCTTTGATCGAGTGGCCACTAGCTACAGTCCATTGTACTTTCTCAGCTCTCAGCTTCGAATGTGAAGGCATTCCACCACGAAACCCTGTATTTTATTATGTACCTGTTCACCTTTAGAGGATCTTGTCTGCAGGAATGAAATCTTGACCTCCCACTTCCAGCCGCTCAGACATTGGTAGTTTGTCTGCATAAGTAGTCGACTAGATAAGGTTAGCGAGCACTAATGTTCGCAAATTTATATCTCAGTGCGAGGAAGCACACTTGATCGTAGCCACAGTGCGTGTGTAATTGTAGATTGGCTGGGCAGCGTCCTTACCCCACTTCTGCGTCTTTTCTTATTTCTTTCTGACATCTATCATCGTATAGAGGACTTCCACAGAGTGATTGGTCGCATTAAAGAAAAAAAAAAAAGCCAGAGAGCCGGAGAAATGGCAGAAAGTAAACCAACATATATCTAAGAAGCAGCGACTAAAGTAAAGAGTCCCTGACTTTGTGATAAAATATCAAGTCATGCTGGCAGCCGGATGTCAGAATAATAATAAGAATATGTAGAGAAGAGAACTGCTAGAACAGCTCCATGTTTGATTAAACGCATTAAAGGCGTCAAAAATTACCTTTCAGGCTTGGCTTTGGGTTAAGTATATTGCCAACTTGAAAGGAAAGCAATAATAATGTAGTGACCAGAGTTTAGGCAGAGCAGTCTGCTAAGTTGATTCTAATGGAGCCATGTTCGAGGAAGTTTCAAAATCGTTCCAACTATAAACGCATAGTATAGGCAGGAAAATCTCTAAATTTGCTGTGGGCTCCTTCTGTACTTGAATTGAGGCAAAAAAAATCATTAATCGAAGAAGGGAAGCGCATAGCACGGAACCAGAAAATCAGTAAGCTACAGAAATAGCGAGGTGTGAGAAGTTAGACATGAGAGAGAGAGAGAGAGAGAGAGAGAGAGAGAGAGAGAGAGAGAGAAAGGTAGAGAGAGGTAGTCAATCATGCAGGAAATAGAACGCAAGTTGAGCTTGGTTATGATGACTAAATGATTGAATCAAATGATTGAATATAAAGATTATATGAACTCAGGAAGCAGAGCGTAGCATACTGTGCTAATGACAACGATATAAACTAAACGGTTGGATGGATGTTTAACAAAAGCATCACTAAGCTGTGTAAAATTATTTGAATTAATAATAAACGATTTTTTTTTTTTTGTTATTTCTCATAATACTTTCTATAAGCAGCTGCTTTAATAAATATATACATACATAATATGAATAGCGTTATTTAAATTATCTGGCAAGAATTCAAATACAAAAAAAAAAAAATTGAAAAATCTTTAGTTATGGTTTTAGTTACATTAGCTTACCTCCATTTTTCGGTGACTTTGGAGAATGCGAAAGTGTTACCAAAATCATGGCCGCATTGCATTCATTCATTTCTTCTTCATCGCATTGATCGCCACTGCACTCGTGCGTATATGATGGGGGACGTTTACGTGAGCTGAAAAAATAAAAACAAATGCATTTATATACAATTTATTAAAGATATAGAAAAAAAAAAAGCAAAAGCGCTATAGTGGAACATGGCCTACTATTACGTATCCTGCACTATTTGGCTTAATACAATTATTCAATTCAAAGTGGGTCATGGACAACCATTGAATACCCTTCACTATTCTGCAAGTATTTATGTAAAGACTTTTCAATATGACCCATGTCATATGCGTGTCCGATCCGAGCCATTCCGAACAGGGTTCGTCCCTGAGTCATAATAGTTATAAAGCAAATCACATTGCATCAGAATATCTTAAAATTTATAAATAGATCGATATTTGTAGGTAGATACATAGACGGACCGACAGACAGACAAGCTTAAATCAATTCTGAAATTTATTCTATAATAGGTGGGTGTTCCATGTAACCGCTAACTAACTTAATACACCCTTACAACATAGGTTATGTAGAGTATTACAATAATATTCTTTCGAAAATTTAATTCCATTTATTTAAAAATACATTTTTTTTATCCAAAAATAAATATCAAAAAAAAAAGAAAGAAGAAGAAAAATCATTGACCCAAAAATGTAATGACAATATTTGATTTTCTCACACTGAAATCCATTTAGTATTGCATTTACATAATTTAACTAAGAGTGACGCAGCTCTATTTATTATATGTAAGAGTGGGCGGGTATTTATTTGGAAATGTTTTTGTTTGTTTTTTTTTTTTTTACTTTTGTATGCGATCAATTAGTTAAATACAATATCTTATTAATGCGTCTATGTAGACTTCATTTTATTTTCTTTTTTTTTTTCATTTATTTATTTAAAACAATGAAGCTTTGTGTCACGCAAATTGAAACTTCAAATAAAAAATCGCCGACAATCATGTATAACGAAAAATTCCAGAATATTGCATATAACGGATTTACAAGGAATTATGGAAAATTAGTTGGAAGCCTAGAAAGATTAGTTAATATCAAGTTTTCTATGAAAAATTTTTCCATGAATTTATGAAATAATAATAAGCACACGAATAAATAAATTTAATAAAATTAAAAGCAATTTACAGAAGAGTCGCGTATCGTAACAATTTCCTGTAAATAATGAGGGCATCAGCAGGTAAGTCAGTTCCGTTCTCTTGGAAGGCTTTGCTGATCAAAATTTACTCACATTTTCGATATTTTGAGTGCTACATTTTGTATTGCGTGTGAGTGTGTCTGAGTGTCTGTGTGTGTATGTTTTATTGTCATATCTCAAGCAAAATCGTAACAGTTACTATTTCCCTTCTGTCAAAGGCGATAGGGACAATTCTTATATGCAATTTTTAGTTGGTTCAGATGGAACTTCACCTTGTCGTTAGTTGCTAGCGATTATGGATTATTGAAGAAAGTATTTTGAAAGCATCGTTTTTTTGTGGTAGATGCCAACCATTATATAAATCCTAAATTCCTTCAGTCTATGCATTTCCAAGATATTGTTACGAAAATCCCAAATCCAGTTTAACTAATTGATTTTTCCAGAAAATATATTTCCGCGAGAGGGAAAAATCAAGTGTAAATTCGTGACACCTCATGCAGCTGCCGGCCGACTAAAAAGTTTACTGGAAAGGCGGAGGCACAATCAGTCGAAAAAGGACATTTGAATTTGCAGTTAGTTATGCTGTCAAACTAAGTAAACTGTAAATAGTTCTACCCTCAGGGAAATTGATTGTAAATAAAACCATAATCTTGCGATACGGCGAAGATCAAAGTCACGAATTCGTTTTTGTTCTGCCCTTCGTTTATAAGTGTCTTTGTATTTTTGCTTTGCGGTAGGGTAGCCGAAATATTAATACAAGTAAGATCATTGACCATTACATACCCTACACTACTTCGGGCAGTACAATTATTGGCTCGTACTTCAAACAGCACACATTATTTTCCATAATTTTCATGAAAGCGCACGTATTGGAAGTTTTCATTTTCCCTGAATATAAGAGTTTGTGTTTCGTGATACCCCCCTATATAAGTGAAGGTAAGAAAAAAAATGGTCCTACGTGATCCAAATTTCCTAACTTGAAATTTTTTTTTTTTGCTGAAACCATCCTATAAATTATGAAGATATCAGGAGATATCTTAAATGAAATGGGGGAAGAAACGGACTTATTTAGGTCTACTTAATTATTTAATTTAATTATTGGCAGGAGAAAATTTTCATCACAAAAAAAAATAGCAATAACGCTCTTTTGGCATAGAGAATTCCTATATACGGTGCTATGCAAAAAATAGATCTATGTGGTCCAAATAGATAAGGTATATTTCTTTGTCAGATTACTATTAAGAGGTAATTTTCAACATGAGTAGTTTAGTCTCCGTAGAATGATTATATGAGATGGGTTCAAAACATAGGCCCCAGCTGGTCCAAAATTTTCAAATAAATTTAGAATGCCGATATACTACTGCTTAGTCGCTTTTGCCGAGAAATTTTGAAAATTGCAAATTTTCTTCCATATAACGACCTTTAGGGATAGGTCGTCATATATAGGGTGTTCGAAAAAGTGGACCGATGCGTTCCCGCTTGTGCCAAAGTATCGCTATGGCTTGCGAAAGTCTAGAACAAATCAAGTTTTATTAAAGAACTTTTGAATATGCAAATTGAAGCGAGATCGCTTCCAAAACGGAAAATTTTTATATTTTTAATCATAGATTTGAATAAGCAACATGCGTGTATGTAAATTATTTAAGACAAATTCTAAGCGGCCTGTGCAGAGTGATACGTCACGCTGAGAGCTCAGTCAATGACTATTCTATTTGAAAAGTTGTGTTTCAATCGTTTTGGCTCAGAGAAAATTGTTGCAATATAGCCCCTGCCTGCTTAAGCTAAAAAAGATGAGTTTTTTAAAATCGCGATTTCATTCAGCAAAGAGACATTTTTAAGTTGTTTAATAAAGAGGAGAGAAAAAAACGGACGTTTTTTTTATCGAAAACGGTAAAAAGAATTTAGGTTTGGAATTTCACATTTGTTTTCAGCGATATCCTCAATTACCGTTTTCTATTTTTTTGTTTTTTTTTTTATTTGTTTCTGAAAGAACGGAAAATAATTATTTTCAAAGGTTTTTTTTTTTTTTTTCTTTTTCATTAATCGAATCTGTTTAAAGTTTTTTTTATAAATTGCCATAGTGGGTTACGTTTGTTTTGCTGTTGTTATTCTGTTCACTGACCTTGCTTAACAATTTTGAATAATTTTTTTTTTTTTGCTCAACAAGCAAACACACACAAACACACTCATACACATGGACATGCAAATATACCTTATGTATGTATGCATATTCTTAATGAAATTGCTTTCGTTTGTATCATATTTTTAGTGTTGTATGAATATATACGTAATTTATGTGGTGAATTGTTGCTGTTGCTATTGTTGTTGTTGTTGAGAGTATGCGATATGTAGCAACAGATTGTTTGCGTATACATGTCGAAAGGGAACTGCAAGAGAATGTGCGTATTTGTTAGTATGATTGTGAGTATTGCATCACGTTTTTAATCTAATAATATGCGAGTGGGTATGTAGGGAATAAATTCGTAAGCATATCTGTGGTGGGCGTGTATGTTCACAATTTTTATAGCCACCATTGAAATTTTAGGCGTATACTCATTTCGCTCAGCAAAGAGAGCTTTCAGGGGCTCTATCAGCTAAATACATTCTATAACAGCATCATATTCTGGATCGATCTAGCCACGTTTGTTCATTTATTTCTCTCTCCTTTCTGTCCGTTCGATCATCTACACGTTCGTTCACATGATCACTAGATCCGTCCATTTGAACATCAGCCAATTGCTACGAGCGTCCATTTGTATATTCGCCCAACTGTCCAGTCGTCCGTCGGCCGGTCTCTGTAAATATTTGTTGTCTGAAATTAATACCAGGGCTTAACATTTATCCGAAACTTTCCAAATTCTTGCAAAAAGATTGATAATGAAATTCAACCAGGTCGGACAGAGGGCCGCCTTACAGTAGAACATAAGCTTAGAGCCCCATTATTTTCAAAACCAAAACTAGTTACTAGTTTTTTGTTCATTTCTCCAAAGCTACTACAACTACGACAATCAAATTTTTTACGGGTATCTCTACAGCACCGTGACCATCCCATATTATGCTTGTTTTTTTTTTTTTGTTTGCTTTTTTCAAATAAAAATGTTGGATATATAAAAGTCGGCCACAGTCAAATATAATTTTTCGAACTTTTCTTAAAATTTTATTTGATTTCGTGCTTGTTGCTGGTGGCTAAAAACTTTTCTTTTTTTTTTTTTTTTTTGTTCCTTTTCTCTCTTTTTATATTACTTGAGCGCATATTTCATTACCAATATGTTCTGAAATACCAAAAAAATGTATTAACAAACGAAAAAAAAAAAATTTGCTTTCTTTACTCTAGGAGTAAATAAATGTTCAGTGAGTAGTAATTCATTATCTTCATTGCAGAATGATTTCATTTCCTCAGTACCCTATTGGAACTTTGGTATTAAAATGCGAAAAAAAAAGAATTGAAAAAAAGAAAATACTTTTTCAGTAAGTGATACTGTTGATAAATTTTAACAAAAAACAATTAAGAGCACTATATCGAACCATTCAGCACTCTACGGTTGTGCGTATAATGACTTTTCATAGTAATAAAAATAATGTAAACGAAGCGGTCGGAATAATGATGCAATACTGTTCCCTCCTTGGGCCTTGGGCCTGCGGTGGCAAATTTGATCAAATTACCTGCAAATTCGACGGCCTACTGTTATATCCAAGGAAATAAGATGGACAGACGGATAGACAAGCTTAAATCGATTTAGAAAGTGATTTCAAATCGCTCGTTATATTATAAGGTGACTCTATCTCAAATTCTTCTGCTTGCTGCATACATCCGCACAAACCTAATATACTCTTGTGGCGTATAAAGAAAAAATATTATATCGATTATGTAACTATATATAGGAGCATGCAAAGTTCGTCAGTTCTTTTGGCAAATCCCTA